TTCTTATAACGTACGTAACTAGTACTCTTTTGTTGCATCTTTGAATCATATAGCAAGTCAACTATCATCACTATGCTCTGAAATAAGTTTAAACAATGTGTATACAAGTCAGAGTTTTTCATTTGAATCAATATACGAAACAAGAAGTTAAGAATTTTAGCCACTCAATTACGAAACAACATACTTCTGTCAACTTTAAAATGATACATCCTCCGTTTCAAAAAATGAACCTTTACTACTTTTGGAATCAAATAAGATTTTCTTTGACTATATTTTCGCAAATAATTTTAAAATATTTTGAATTGTTAACTATCGTAACTTATAATATTTTTATGTGATTTTTAAATACGAAATTATATTTCAAAAAATTTAAAGAATTTATGTCCGAATTCACACTGAAAATAAATCAATTTGATTCTCATACTCCGAAAAGACTCAAGCAAATTGAAATGGAAAGAGTATTAATTAATAGTGCTATGATAATTGGTTTGAACCGACCAGAGATGAGGCTAATACTCTCATCGCCCCCAAATTACAAGTTCTTTTCCAGATTATTCATTTACTAGTATTTCGATAGTAGTATAACCAGGGGTGTATAAATCAAAATGAAAAATCACACCAAACCGAAAAGTCAAACCAAATCGATGAAAAAATCCGATTAGATTTGGTATTGAGTAAAAAAATCATAACCAAGTCGACATATAAATATATTATTTTTATATATACTTTTAAGAATTTTTATAGAATTTTCTTTAAAAAAATATCTAGAAATAATTGTGATTCTCTTCTGGGATGTAATATTTAGTTAAATATGAAGTGCTCCATTTTTATTAATTTTAAATAATTGGTTGTATGATCACTTTCTTATCAAGTGTTACTGAAATGCGTTAATCTCTTTGTTCTTCCATATTCATACGTCTAAGGTCTATTAAAATCTTATATCTTTTTCGAATTTGGAGTGATATTTCGATAATTTAAAATTAGAAAGGACATATCATTATTTAGGTATCATATTGATTTTTATGTTTAATTATTAAATTCGATTAACCTTAAAAGTGTACATCAACGAAATATTATTGTCTGACGACTAAAAAGATAGTACTATCATGTTTTACTAAGAAAATTCTCCCATGAGAATATTTTAATAGATCATATGTTTTTTAATTTTTTTAATTTTTACTAAATATATATTTACTTATAAAAAATTTAATAAAGTAAGATTGAAATAGTATTTATTTAACAAAAAATCCGAAAAACTCGAAAAATCCGATAAAACCAAACCGATATAATTGGTTTGGTTTGATTTTGATAAAAATCGAATCAATCCGATCTATGTACACCTCTAATTATAACCCCATTTTTAATTGTTCTTTGAGTAGTTTAGTGGTTAAAAGTTAAAACTCATAAAAAATATATCTAATTTATGATTTGTTTGATAGGGGAGTTGAAAGAAGATTCAAAGAAATTTTAAAGTTTTGAGACGAAAATTTGCTCAAACCAATGAAAGGACTAGAATTAAGGGTGGTATGTGGGCCGAATCCGGGCCTAAATGGGCTTCGCGGGCCCGGTCCTAAGTGGGCCGGTCCTATGCGGTCCGGTCCTAATCGGTCCCGGGTTTCACGGGCTTATTGCTGGAACCGGCTCGGGACCGTGACCACGAACTAACGGTCCCGGGTTAAGTGGGTCGGTCTTGGGCCTAAGCGGGCCCAAACGGGCCTAAGCGGGCCCAACAGATACTTTATATTTTTAATTTTTTTTTATAGAAGTTAGAGAAAAAAATGGTAATAAAGATATATAAGCTATATTCGATTTATATACTATATATACATCTTAAAATATATATACTATATTATATAAGCCATATTCGATAGTATACATCTTAAAATATACTATATATACATCTTAAGATATATATATATATATATATATATATAATATTGTATAGTATATTATATGCTATACTATAATTCGATTTACTATATATACATCTTAAGATATATAAGCTATATTCGATTTACTATATATACATCTTAAGATATGTATATATATTGAATATNTAAAACAAACAAAATTATAATATTAAAACTTAAGAGCTGGAACGAGTTTACCGAATTGACGAACAACTTGTTGAAAATTGATTATCGTTGAAGACTTCAATTCACCAACTTCATAATTGTTTCACAAATTGTAACAACAAAGTAAGCAATAGTAGCAATTATAGAAGAAAATTAGAGAGAGATTGTGATAGATTGATGATTTTGTAAGAAAAAATGAAAGAATGATGGGGTATTTATAGTTGAAAATAGGAAAAAAGTGTAATTATAAAAAGTTTGGGATTAAAACAAAGTTGGGGAGGGTTAAATGACTATTTTATAAATAGCCAACGGCTATTTTTGACAGCCTAACGGCTATATTTTTTTAAAAAAATAGCCGTTGGGACCGTTTGGCCCGCTAAGGGACCGGGCCGATCCCGGGCCTGCGGGCTAAACGGTCCCGGGCCTGACAGGCTAAACGGTCCCGGGCCTGGCGGGCCCAAATCATAGGACCGGCCCACAAGACCGGCTCAGGCTCACTAAATCGGACCAAACGGTCCTGCTCCGTTTAGCCCGTTTGGTCCATTTAGCCCGCGATCCTAGATCGGTCCCGGGCCTGGACCGGTCCACCTGCCACCCTTGGCTAGAATGGAGAAACAACGTATTTTCCTTGCAATGTGCAATCAGCGTGCGCTCATATGGACAAGGCAAAAGTCAGAGCGTGCAACGTGTAGTCATAATTTCTGGGCGTTAATTTTAGAGATATTTTGGTCTTTGAAGTAATTTTTACACTATATAAAAACTTCTTTTTTCTCCCCCAACGCACCAATCTCAACTTGGAAAAGAAGAGACACCGGTTTTAAAGCAACTTGAAGCTTGGGAGAGCATCAAAACCGTTCCAATTGAAGAACGAAGAGTTTTCCCTAACTTGTTTTATTCTCTTTTGTGATGGAAGTTGTTGACTATGGATATTATATTTTTAGTATAAATCTGAGTAGCTAGATTTTTTAACTAGGGTGAGTTTTGATGAACCAGTTGTTAGAGTAATTTTTGAATTCTTGATACACATTCTATTTATTTGACTAAGACTTTTAATGAATTCAATTGTTTGAGCTCACAATTATTTTTGTCCTATTGTTTATTTATTCTTGAAAAAAATTACAGGATTGATTCGAATAATAATACTGCGCGTTAATTTAAGGAATTAATTAACTTACTTTAGAATTTACTGGGATATCGTGAATCGACTGTAACCTAAAATTGAACGGGTTTACTGTCTTGAATTATTTTAAGAAAAATAGTTTAAGAATTAACGTCGTTAGTAGTTGAAAAATTCTAGCGAATGATTCTATATCCAAAGTTGATAAAATCGTATCAAGCAAAATTTTCGGAGTTAATTCAAAACTATTCCGATAATAGTAAAATTCGTTATCCTAAACTTTTTATCATCTGCAGATTCTCTAGACTTTTACAGGTTTTTGTTTAGCATGCTTCATAGTTGTTTTTAATTCAAATAGTTAGTTAATATATAATTAGAAAACTCAATTATAATTATTTATCCTTTTTAACTTGATCGGACTTAGGAGTTATTTAAATTGAATTACATTATTCTCTACGAAGCTCGACCCTAAACTCATAAACCATATTGTATTTGCAATAAATCCGAGTTAAGAGCGATCATATTATTTGAGTAATAAAGTTAGTATAACTAATGAATTAGATTATATATGTTCAATACAACTTTTTGCCTATATATTCAATCCGTTAAAATGAAAGAGTGATCTAAGAAAACTAAAAACTACATTTATACTAATTTTTCAAAAATTTATGCAATCAATCCAGTATAGTTAAATTAGATTGAACTGGTAAGCTTTTGCGATAATTGACCCATTTAGCATTTTTGGCACTTGATTGTTTATCAAAAGGAAGAAAAGAAAATAGGTAAATTGAAACGAAGAAAGGAAAAGGCAACCGTACATTTTGAAACGTAAAATGTCCAAACGAGTTTTACTAGCTTATTCTATCGCTGAAGAGATTCGCATATATCGGGTACATGTACATTTACATAGAAATTTAGAGCCCGTTTGAATTGACCGACGGTAAATAGCTGATAAGTTTGATGTGTTGAAAAGCATTTTAAGTACTGAAATTAATTTTTTAAATAAGCATTTATGTGTTTAGATAGAGGTGCTGAAACTGATAATAAACAGTTGATATGTGTATGGTAAAAAAGTACTGATAAGCTGTTGTTTTATTAAAATGGCTAAAATATCCTTAAAAATTGTATAAAAAATTACAAATTAAAAAGTTTCTTTGTAAAAAAAAAAACAACGAATATGGAAGGAAGAGAAAGTTAGAAAATTTATTTTGGGAAAAATATTTTGTGAATTAAAAAATATTATTAAGGATAAACTAGTAAAAGCCTTGGTCAAACTAAAAGTGCTTATAAGCTGAAAAGCCATAAGTTGGGGGTGACCAACTTTGACTGATTTTAGCTTATAAAAACTTTGGATATTTACCAAACGCGTAGATAAGTCAAAAGGTGGTTTATAAGTCAGTTTGATAAGCTTATAAGCTTAGCTAAAAACCTTGTTAGTCATTATTCATTTGCAGCTAATTGTGGCAAAACAATTTAATTTGTACCCATGTCCTTCAACGAAAAACATCAAAAGTTTTAAATTTTATGGAATTCCGTCCAGTACGTACTCACGAATATGTGATACATACACATAATAATCATCGACGCAGTTTTGACATGTGGACCTAGCAGAATAGAAAGTTATTTACTCCTAGTTAAACTTCCCATAGGAAGGATATATAAAGCTTTCAAAGAAAAATTAAGTTTTAAAGACAAATTGAATTAATAACGATGCTATATATTAGAAATTTGACTTTAAAAAGGACATGATAAGGAGGAGAAATTGTTAGAAGTTCTACGTATTGAAACCAAACAGGACGATCTGGCCATAAACGTAACAGAATTATATTTTCAGCACAAATATAATTTTGTCAGGAAATACATTAGAAAACACAATTTACATTCCTGGAATGACCATGCGCAAAACACGTACGTACATATTTAGATGCGTTTCTGCACTAGCCTCATATTGACCATACACTTGTTTGCCTCTTCGCCTGAAACAAATATGAAGAAGAAAACATAAAGAAAGAAAATGGAGAGATGCACAATTGATCCTCATGATATCAGAGTAAATAGAGATTTGATTCAATTCTTCCATCACCTATATTTATGAAAGAAATATTCATGAAGAAAAGAATCAACGTTACCGCAACGGTGTATTGCTAATTAAGTATAATTAAGCAAATAAAAACGGCAACGGTGTATTGCTAAGTATAATTAAGCAAATAAAAACTGTGTGATGAGATAGTGACACGCTTCTAACACCACACTATTCCAAGTTGTGGCTTTCTATAATTTCCTCTTCGCCTAAGCTACGACGTCCCCTTTAAACAAGGAGAAAACAGATTGCATAATTGCATTTCTGCATGCATGCAGGCTGCAGCATAATTAGTTTTCATCAAAAATGATCTAATCCTCAGTTGGCAGTGGACATGTACCATTTAGGAAACTGCATGCATGCATGGATCGATATATACGTTAACACCACAGTCTTAGACTCCACAAATACTCCATTAATTAATATCAAATGCCATGGAAGAGGACTGAGGGAAAAAGGAAGAGGAAGAGAAAAAGTGAAAAGGCAAAAACAAGCAACGTCTATATATGCTCAAAGACTCCTCATGATGCAAGAAAAATAATAAATAGAAATGGAGCTAGGAAGAGAAGAACAGCGTCGTTGTATGCACATCGATTATAAGTAAACATATTAGTTTGGATATAGAAATGGAAATTTTTCACTAGGGCATGCACAAGATAAAAAGAGGGCATAGTTCAGTCGCACGCAGCGTGGCACCGTCAATCTTTGCAATTGTATGGATGGAGCCACGCTGAGTACGCCTAAACTACTTCTTCTTTCTCTTTTCTTCATCTACGTACTTCCATCTCCAAACAAGAACAATCGTTGTTATTCGTATAATTTGTGTGTATGCGTGCATATATATTGCGTAGTAGTATATATTAAAAGTATATAATGACTTGTAATATATTAACTGCAAAACACAAAAAGCTGTCAAATCTCTATCTTTTAACATGGAGAGCCGGTGGCAAATGCCAGATGTAGCTTAAAGAGCGAATAATTCCAGGAAATTGCCATGTGAAAATACCATATGGAAGTATGAAGCTAGCTGAAACGGTGATGATAAGGTCCTTACGCATTACTATAACAGGGAGAAGAAAAGTTATCTCCCAGTAAGCATCCAAGTGGCACTACCTGGCTCTGACTTACTTGTATTGCGGACACGTTTCTATGGTCTTTTCCCATATTTATGTTCACGATCATTGCCAAGTGGCGTACAGAAAGCTGGCGTGTTACGGATATAGTACATATACTCTAAATCCAATCTCATATTTGATAATTTGAACATATTTTTCTAATAAGTTATTTGATATAAAAATATATGGAATCTGATATTCTTTTATTATAGTTATTATTAATTGCTTAATTAACTTGATAAGGTTCTTGATTAAATTTTGAGACTTGTCATCGTAATGGAGATCATGATAATGAGAGTAAAACTTCTTATAATTTAATCTAAATTTGTTCTTGATCGTCGGATTATTAATTTGGACATTAGTAATCCGGTTAGATCAATATTTATTTGAACGTCTTTATTGGATAAAGATTAGTTGATCTCATTGACTAAATCACATAGATAGATGATGCATATAGAGATATGATCATTGAACCGACTCATTGGATAATTTCAAATGATCATCGNGCATTTTTGGCACTTGATTGTTTATCAAAAGGAAGAAAAGAAAATAGGTAAATTGAAACGAAGAAAGGAAAAGGCAACCGTACATTTTGAAACGTAAAATGTCCAAACGAGTTTTACTAGCTTATTCTATCGCTGAAGAGATTCGCATATATCGGGTACATGTACATTTACATAGAAATTTAGAGCCCGTTTGAATTGACCGACGGTAAATAGCTGATAAGTTTGATGTGCTGAAAAATATTTTAAGTACTGAAACTGATTTTTTAAATAAGCATTTATGTGTTTAGATAGACGTGCTGAAACTGATGATAAACAGTTGATATGTGTATGATAAAAAAGTACTGATAAGCTGTTGTTTTATTAAAATGGCTGAAATATCCTTAAAAATTGTATAAAAAATTACAAATTAAAAAGTTTCTTTGTAAAAAAAAAAACAACGAATATGGAAGGAAGAGAAAGTTAGAAAATTTATTTTGGGAAAAATATTTTGTGAATTAAAAAATATTATTAAGGATAAACTAGTAAAAGCCTTGATCAAACTAAAAGTGTGAAAAGCCATAAGTTGGGGGTGACCAACTTTGACTGATTTTAGCTTATAAGCACTTTGAATATTTACCAAACGCGTAGATAAGTCAAAAGGTGGTTTATAAGTCAGTTTGATAAGCTTATAAGCTTAGCTAAAAACCTTGTTAGTCATTATTCATTTGCAGCTAATTGTGGCAAAACAATTTAATTTGTACCCATGTCCTTCAANGCCAATATGATCGACCTGACTATGACGAGACTATTTGGCATAGAGTTATTTAAGAAAATTGTATGCAGATACAATTGGTAAGAGTACCTACCTTTAAAATATATGTGAGAAACGACTTGACTTTCAAGGGGCTCATACATATTGTTGAAGAATTTCTTTACTCCACTAATAGAAATAAAGATTTCTTAAACTATAATGAGGGTAAATAGTTTAAAATAATTAGTGAAAATATCATTTAGATAAAAGTCCATGTATTTATGATATATGCAAATATGTTCTTATATTATTGCCTTTTCTTTTCTATATTTTAGATTTCTCAATATGCCTGTTATATCATTGCGTGAAATACTTGAGACCAACAATTTGGTAGGACCAAACTTTGATGGCTGGTATAAAAATTTGAGAATTGTTCTCATGCATGAAAAACTCATTGATGTGATCGATGAGCCTGCATAGATAGTCCCACCAGAGAATGATTTTGAAGGCACCAAGATTTATCAGAAATACTTGGAAGAATGCCTTGCTATTAAATACATCATTCTCGCTTCTATGAGTTTTGAACTCCAGAGGAAACATCAGAATATGGATCCAACTACAATCATTGAATATCTTAAGAAGATGGTTGATACAGAGTTGGACATTGAAAACTCTCCAGTTGGATCCTGTCACGACCCTAAATCCCACCACAGGCGTTGTGATGGCACTTAGTCTCTAAGACTAGGTAAGCCGATTACAATTACATTTCGAGCCTTTTTTTTTTATTATAGATGAAATAGATAATTGAAACCTACAGCGAAAATGATTATAACAACCTCCAATGATCTCAAGGATCGAATATACAATACTTTTCGAATAAGAGTTGACAGTACAATATAATGGAAAGACTCCAAGGGACTGCGACGACCAGGCAGTCCTACCTTGAATCCTTGCGATCACACTCTAATCTCTGTCCGAATTCGGTATCTCCAATACCTGGCTCTGCACAAAAAAATGTGTAGAAGTATAGTATGAGTACACCACAGTCGGTACCAAGTAAGTATCAAGACTAACCTCGGTGGAGTAGTGACGAGGTACAGTCAAGACACTCACTAGTCAAATAACCTGTGCAATATAGCATACAAAATAATAGAAAATAAATAGCAGTGATAGCAATAATAATCAACTAGTGATGTAAACAACAAAGCAGCAAGAACACCATAATTATTACTGAGACGAATAAGAAACACAAGTACGACCAATTAAACAAGTCCTTCAAATATAAATCTTTCACATATAATTCTTTCGAATAAATACCCTTCAAATATATTTCTTTCAAATAAATATCTTTCGAATATAAATTCTTTCAAATAAAAATCACTCTGTGACACCTCATTTCATAATCATAAAACACGGGTCTCAGCCCACTTTTATATTCTCACGGCACCTCGTGCTCATATCTGTATCACAACTGCACGGACAACTCCCGTGCCAAATATGTCAATACATAAAATCCGCATGATCAATTTATTTTCAATAGAGTAAGGTTACAAATTTTAAACCGAGTAAGAATTCAACAAAGAAATAAATTTATTTTAGAAATAGTTTGAGTGAAGAAGATGACATTTCAATTTAAAAAAAGCATCAGATAAGCTACTGATTTGGATGTACAACTTATTAAATTAAAATATAATAGTAATTTATTTTATTTAAAACAATTCAATCATCAAGAACAAGTACAAACTAGAAATACAAATCCTGAGAGTCTCGTACGAAAAAAATAAAAAACAAAGCCAACACAATACTACAAGAAATACAAAGCACTTAATAATAAGTCATATAATACATCACGGAGAACACAAGAATTTACATACTACGAAAAAACAAAATAACCAAAGGCAAATGTAGCCATAGAGAAATATCAACAAAGGGCACGCCCGAGGTACCGCCTCGTAGTCCCGACACAAATATCAACAACAACAATACCCCCAAGCCATCACAAGTCATCATAAATCAATCCCCGACATAGCCCACCTTGTCTCTCCACGTGCGCAATAATAAAGTAAATGCCCGCCTTGTCTCGCCGCACACGCATAATAATATTTTCACCTTGTCTCGTCAAATGCGTAAACCCACATATATAGCCCGCCTTGTCACATCGCATGTGCATATATCAATAGTAACAATAGCACGGCAGAAACCTCGTGCAAACACCCGAACAAACCTTCCAACAATATCACGTGCTAATATTACAACATGTCATAAATTGCACTTCAAGTGCTCAAATATTATAAAATATTACAAATTACACATCAAGTGCTCAAATATCAAAACATATCGCAAATCGCACCTTAGGTGCTCAAATATTTCAACTTACCATAGAAATCAATAATATATTATTTTCCACAATAAGGAGCCCATGGCTCGACCATAATGTGCACAAAAATCTTAACAAAAATATCCGGAAGTGAACAACTCAACAGAATAATATTTCACAATTTAGCACCTTGCCTCACTATGATTTATGACCTTTATAACTCAATACCAATTTCAACAATATGAACTGGAAAGTAATTCGTCAAGGAACAATGCTCCAAATTTTGGCAAATAGATTAATGCCTCCTTTAAATATTATTTATTAAATTATTTATAAATAAATAATCCATAATAAAATTATCTCCAGGAAATATCAACTCAACAAAAACACGGGATTCACATAAAAATCCAAGTGGCAATCACACTAAATTATCATATAAAATATAAACTCGACAAACAAGAAACGAGGCATGACAAATTAAGGATTTACTAAGTTCCAACAATTTTCCAATTTAATACATAAGGGCGTCTACGAATTTCAACCGATATAATTTTCACATATAAACCAAGTACGTACTCGTCACCTCGCGTACATGGTTTTCAGTTACACAATTTCCACATAAGACTCTATGCCTAAGGGGAAATTTCCCCACACAAGGTTAGGCAAGATACTTACCTCAAGTAACTCAATCCACTGGTAAGCCTTTTTTTGCGACTATCCAACTCTGAATGGCTCGAATCCAGATGAATATTTCCTTGAAAATCCTTCGGCAAAAATCGCTACAAATCGAGCTTTCTTGATTCAGCTCTTTAGTAATATTAAAACCTCCAACTACTCTTATAACTTCGATCTAGATCAACATAATTCGATTGGACCAATATTAGTAAAAGTTCCAGATTTTAGGTCATTCAGGTATTTTATCAAACATCTAGTAGGCATGAATCTCTACATCTCTTAACCATAGAATTAGTTCATCCAACTACTACCATTTACCAATAATTTATCCCACCATCATTCTTAAATAATTCATAACTTCCAACATCACATACATGGTGTAACGACCCGATAGGTTATTTTAAGCTCTAGCTTGTCATTCAGTGGTTTGAGACCCTGAGAAGCTTCACTTCAGGTATTATGACTTGTACGCATGGCAGGAATTTAATTTCGGGAAGTTCGGAGTTGATTTGGAAAGAAAATTCTAATTTCGGAAGCTTTAAGTTGGAGGAATTGACTAAAGGGTAATTATTGAGTAAACGACCTCGGAATCGGGATTTGAAAATTCTAACAGGTTCGTATGATGATTTTGGACTTGGACGTATGTCCAGATCGGGTTTTGGATGACCCGGGAACGTTTCGACGCCTATTGTGGAAGTTGGCATTTTGG